ACTGTTTACCAAAGCCTGCCATTCTTGTTTGATCAGACTGTTCTGCTATGAGATCACGCTTGTTTAACCCAAGCACAGATGGTGCCTGAATAAAACGCAACGAAAGAAAGAAAGGACCTGCCCAGAACCACAGGCACAAGTCACAACAGGGCCTTGAGAGAGCAGCCTGTGGCAGGAAGCAGCCTTCCAGTCCCCACCTCCGCCCTCAGCTCAGCCTTCTGCATGGAAGGAAAAATCACACCCAGGAAAGAGGCCCTCGCTTCCTTCTGTTTAAACTCTTAGCTATTATTCTAAAGGACTATTATTCTAAAGGACTATTATTCTAAAGAAAGCACACTGCCCTTCAAGCTTTCTCAAGTCTTGCTACTGCTTGGGAACCAATGCAAGAGCTCTCTCTCTGCAAACCGGCCTGGGAAATAGGAAGAGCAGGGGGCAGGTGGTAAAAACATCCCTATGCTTCCGAAGGCAGATCCACCCCGCGTGTCCTTTCTCACCAGATGTGCAGACAGCTGAGGGTAGCAAACAGGATCCCCATAATGAAGGCCAAGGGGATGGCCAGAAACACCGTCAGGAACTTGTAGATCACATATTTGCTGATTTCAAAGAGGGCATGGCTGCAGATCCACACTTTGTCAAAGGAGTGTGTAGTCTCAGGTTCTGCAATCAGATCATCGAAGCCCAGCTGCAGAGACAAGACACAAGGACCCATGCTGTCACCCAACCTGTCTGGAGGGGTAGGGGGTGGGGAGAGGAACAGAGGCCTTATAAGCAGGAGAAGTCCGCAGGAAAGATGGCTATAGAGTATTCCCAGCGTTTCTTAGGGTGACAGTAGGCACACATTCCTGGCTGTGCAGGGAGCCTGAGGGCTGTCTGTGCAGGGCCAACAGGACCAGTCACCACTGATGGGCACGAGTTGAAGGGGCATCCCCCTGCAGAGAGCCAGGGACCCACAGCAGCCTCCAGCCTGGGTGAGGACCTGCCTGAAACTCACCTTGAGATGCGAGTTGAGCCGATGAGGATCCCGGTCGTGACTCGAGTCCACATACTTCTCAGGATCTGCGTAGTCGACACCACTGTGGTGGCTGTAGGCGTCGTCAGCCATGAAGAGCTGCACGTCAGCCTTCTCGGTCTCCAGCCCCATGGTGGCTGGCGCTGCGCGAGCGGCTCGGGTCGGTCGGTCCCCGGGCAGCGCGGGCCACCCCTTCCCGTGGCGCCCAGCCCCGCCCCGCCTCGCCTCGCCTAGGTCGCGCTGCCCCGGCGGGCGGTGGCCGCTTCCCGCTGCCGGTTCCCGCTCCCGGCCTTGGCTGGCCGAGGCCCGCCCCGCCCCGCCGGGCCTGCGGGGTGGGAGGGCACCTCTCCGGTTGCTTGCCAGGGCCCGAAGGAGCACCGGGTAGCGGCCCCGATGAGTCACCTCCTGGCTCAGTGGAGCTGGGCAAAGCGGGCCTCCAGGGCCACTTGGCTAGCAGTTCAGACCCGGGTGCCTAAAAGCCAGCAGATTGGCCAGGGAGATGGGTGTACTGGAGGGAGGTCTCGAGGTGCTTGTGGGGTAAGCGATAGGAAAGTCTGCATTTATCCCTTAGTTCGTTTAACGTCTTTGGCACCTGCTCCTCATCTTGAGAGAATAGATGTTAATTCAGGCAAAACTTTTACTTGGTCCCTAACTCACAGTAGGCATCCCATCAGCATGGCTGCCGCACAGTGAGGCTAGGAGCCACGCATACTGAATGACAGGTGCTGGACTCCAGCAGTCCTTCAGTTTTCCCAGAGTTGAGTATGTGAGACTTGTTCTGGGAGTTTGCACCGTCATACCTCAAGGAGAGGTCAGGTCTTTTACCTCCAAACTACAGCTAACTCTTGATTTTCCCTTGAGTCGGGACTTTGTTCAAAGATGTCAGGAATTACTAACATGCAGACAGATCTGCAATACCCTCACAGGAGCAGCGTAAACAGAAGCACAAAACCATGCCATGGTACATGAAGGAGCCTGCTGATCATTCTCTCAAGAGCTTCAGAAGGGAGGAGTTGGCATAAAGGGTTTACTGGCTGGTAAACTTTACACATTTGCTTGCGGGAAACAGGAATATAGTGAATATAGATTTAGAAAGATGCTTGCAGGTGGAGGACCATGTACCGCGTTCAGCAGGGGTCAGCGCCAGCTGCGCATACCAAAGCCCTTGTAGGAACTGGATTGGAAGGGTTCTTTGAAAAAGAAAGAGCCGTATTAGGGGAATAATGAAAGTTACACAAACAAAACAAACAAACAACAACAATAAAAAACAGGAGCTGAATGGGGGACATACTTTGGAGCTAAAATTCTGTCTTTTATAAACAAAATGTGAAACTTCTGCTACGGCAGTGTGTGACTGGCAGTGCGGCAGCATGCAGGGTTGAATCCCAGGACCTGGCGGCCCCTCCCCTCCCTCATGTAGCACTTTTACTCAAGCCTCCAGCGACCCCTGTGCTTATACTTACCCTTCCTGGTTTTATGTAAGTTCTTTTGAATTCAAAGGGATGACACTGGCCTTACATTTACTGCTTTTTCCCTGGTAGTTCACTCTCCTGCATTCATTCAAACAGGCTGACTTTCTTGAGAAGTAGATAGCGTCTAGATCAGTGGTTCTCAACCTGTGGGTCGTGACTCTTTCACAGTGTTCACCTAAGACCACAGGAAAACACAGATATTTACATTATGATTTGTTACAGAAGCAAAGTACAGTTATGAAGTAGCAACAAAAATAACTTTATGGTTACAGGGTCACCACAACATGAGGAACTGTATTAAAGGGTGGCAGCATTAGGAAGATTGAGACCCACTGGTCTAGATGCTGCTTTCCGAAGGCAGGAGTCTGCAGGGGAGGCCATCATGTTGATTACCAGGACATGGAAGAGATAGTTGACATCCAATTAATCTTTGATAAGGCTTACATTTCCTCAAAACTAATGTGTTTCATGAAAAGAAGAAAACCACATGACTGCAGTCTGCATGGTGGCTGAGCATCTGGCTTTGAGGCTTCATCCCTTCCAAGTCTTTGGAGTACTTTCACATTTTCAACACAGTTATTTGGGCAATTGACAGAACCACTGCAAATAATTGCTGAATTTTTCAGGCAGTAGAGATAGGAGGCAACTAAGAGGTGAAACTAACATGCCTTTTATTGGGCAGTTTCAGTTATAGATTCATTTGTAAAATTATAGGTCTTTATTAAAAAAAAAGATATCTCTGAAGCCAAAACTAAAAATAGAAGCTGTCTAGATTTGGTGTATGCCATATAGAATTTAAAAGTAGAAGCTGTTTAGATTTGGTGTATGCCATATAGAATTTAAAAGATGAAGAGTCACATGTTGACTTACTGAATATATCCCTCTACCACTGGTTGAAACTGGATGACACTCTTATTTTAGTGGCATTCTTGCCCGTTTCACTATTTTAATTCATCAAGCTTTTTAAAGCATCGCTATAAGAATGATTTTGCTTATCCTACTAGAATATTCTTAGACCGTGGCAGTTACCATTGTCCTCAAGGGAATTAAACCAGCATGATTCCCACAGAAAAGATGGTTCCATGCGTGCTAACCTGATAGATTTTCCAAGAAAGAAAGTAAGGGAGATGTGTTAGAGCTAAATGGCTGAGTATACAGTCGTATTTTCCAGAGTGCTGGATTACCCTCCAGTGAGCCTCAAAAACATATTCTGCTATGAAGAAGGCGACATAAAATCTCATATTAAATCCATGCGGTTGCTTTCATTTTCTCTGTTACATGTCCTGGTTTCTAATAAGATGAAGTTTTAGATGGCATATTAAAATAATGGGGGAGTTTAGCTTGATCATAGATTAGTATTTGTGAGTAGGATTTTGTTCCTTCATTTTCCCCTCATATTGTCTAAGAAAGAAGTTCTTTTTGGGGGGGGGCTTATTTTACTGTGTTTGTGAATATGCATATGAATAAAGTCTATTTTCCTCTTCAGTTTTCTTCTCAAATCACAAACATATCTTCTGATGCCTTGTATTGCTCATATACAGCTTTAATCATTGGCTATTCATGGAACTGCTCATTCATGAAATAATTTATTGATAGTTAAAGCACTTGGGTTAGAGGAGGCTTGCTCAGCCTCCACATTATTGGCATATTCAGCCAGGTCATCCTGTGCTGTGAGGGCTTATCCCATGGACCATACAATGTTTAGCAACATCCCTGGCTTCTACCCTACTAGCTGTCATTACTGCTGCCCAGTCATGACAACCCCAAATGTTTCCAGACATTGCCAAATGTCCCCTGAGGACCCAAGTCACCTTTCCCCCAGTTCCTGGATCTGAGAGCCTTAGAATTTGACACTATTGAATAATGTCACATGAATGGGAAAATGGAGGCTGCACTGTGCATTAAGACAGAGTTTGGAATTATACTAATAACTTATCAGAAACCCCCTTTTGTTAATTGTGAAACAGCTTCATGTCTATAAAAAATTAAGTCCAACATAAAATTACATGTAGGTACATAAAAAAGTTAAGCTTGGAGCTGGGCAGTGGTCGAGCGCACCTTTAATTCCAGCCCTGGGGAGACAGAGGCAGGCAGATCTCTGTGAGTTCAAGACCAGCCTAGACTACAGAGCGAGTTCCAGGACAGCCAAGGCTACACAGAGAAACCCTGTCTTGAGGGAAGGGGAAAGAAAGTAAAGAAAGAAGGAAAGTTAAGCTTAAGGATTTTGTCTATTCTTTAACATTTTCAAAATACCAGTTAACAAAATTTCAGTGAAATATTGGTTATCCGTTAAGGAATATGCAGTTCCATCAGGAGACCCCCAAGAAGAAGCAACTTCCAAATCTTGTCGGTCTGCAGAGCTTGCAGTTTCTTCACAAAGGCAGGGCTGGTTTAGTTGATTATATCTGAAAATCATGGATTAGGGGATGTCTTGATCCTTTGTATTTCATCTTAAGACCATATGAAATTCAGGGATTTTTGGCAAATCACACTTATTGAATAATTTCCTCACGTTTTAGGTGACTTGAATTGAGGAATTCCTGTCTTTGTGAGGAGAGCAGCCAGGCTTCTGCTGATCAGGTTTCACTGTCACAAGGACAAAGCTTGAGAAATTTGGAGACACCGTTGTTTGAACTGCTCTCTCCACGGCACAGTGGACTTTGAATAAGTAATTACTCAAATAACTCTCTACTTTCTTTTTAAAATCACACCTTTCCCTCTCTTCCCCACTTTCCCTCCAACTCCTGACAATATACTGGACCCTGCCCCCTGCCTGAAGTTTAAAGGAGCAGATAAAAAGTGGGGGGTCATTAAAGACCTTCAGTTATCACACTTGTGAAGTGGTGCCAAATACTTTATGAAAGGTCCCCCCACCTTTTTTTTTTACATGCCATTTGTCTTTTCTCCCTATCCCATGTAAAGTAAGTCTTGCATCAGTGAACCAGGAATTTCTGGTTTAATATTCAGACATAGGAGCTTGTTTATAATTGGTGCCAGCTTAATATTTTATCTGTTTCAAATAGGACCTCCCCGGCTCAAAAAATGCCATACACGAGAATGTTCTGAATCACCTTTTGTGTGGGAAGGCCTGGCCCTTAGGAACAACAGGGGGAAAGAGCGCATGTTTGAGAAGTCTGTATCCACTGTTGATGGTGACTGGAGAGGGCATTCTATTCTCATTCAGAACAATGCAAGATGATTAATTTTAGCATTATTTTATCCTGTTTTCCATAAGTAAAGGATGTTCCTGTTTAGCCTTCTAAGTATTTCATTGATTTCTGGAGTATTGTATATACTAAAGAGACATCTCTATAGGACTTTGATGCTTTATCTTTCCGGTACATGAAATAGGAGCTCATTAACCTTTAGTGAGCACTCAATTTAAGTTCCACTTTTAAGAAGCGCAATTTCCTCTCTGTGCAGGTGGGATCCTGGCTTTTGCAACACGGTGGAGCTGTCTTTTCCCAGTCTCAACAACGGATCACAAAGTTGTTTTCCTGACTTGAGGTTAAACATTTTTATTACATCTATCTATTAATTTTGTATGTGCATGCCACGGCCCATACATGGAGGTCAGAGGGCAGCCCAAGGGGCTTGGTTCTCTTCCTCCACAATGTAGGTCCCGGGGATGGAAATCTGATTGTTAGGTTAGGTAAAAAGTGCCGTAAACCACAGAACCATCCACCCGGTGCTTGATTTGAGATTTTATTTTAGACTGTAGTGGGTAGCCATTCCAGCTTTGATCTGGAAGTTCCAAGCCCCATTGAGACTTCGGCAACTGTCACGCCTACAAGGCGGGGCCAAGGGAGGCACCTGGAGACTCGAGATCTGGATGGGCCAGTTCTCTCCCTGTTCTGGGACCCTGGACGGTGGAGGTGGGCCAAGCAGAGCTCCAGAGAACACCGCTGGACTGCGATACACCTTCCCCAGACCCCGCGACCTACCTATCCCTTAATTTGTAAGTTACGCCATTAAATAAATCTCCTTTTAACTACATGGAGTGGCCTTAATAATTTCACCAATATTAGACAAAAAAAAATTATTATAGCTCAGATTTAAGGCTTTGTCTTGTATAATAATAATTTTCTTTCTCTGTGTGTATGTGTGCACTCATGTGCATGCATATATGTGGTGTACTTGTGTGTGTTCAGGTGTACTTGCCCCTGTGTCAACATGTGAAGGCCAGAGGCTGGGGCCTGGTACCTTCCTCTATTGCTGTTCACCTTGCTCTCGTGAGACTGAGTCTTTCAGTGAACTTGGAACTCATCATTTTGGCTCAACAGTCTGACCAGTTAGCCCTCAGGATCCACCTGTCTTTGCCTCCCTAGCCCTAGACTTACGATGCATGATGCATATATCACACTGCTCAGATTTCAAGTCCATATGCTTCCACCTCTATGTAGATTACATCCCCCTTGCAGTGATCAAATATGCCACAAGATCAACTTAAGGAAGAGTTTTTTTTTTTTGGCTCCCAGTTAGAGGGTACAGTCTACGGTGGTGCAGAAGGCATGGTGCAAGGAATTCAAGGCGTCTGGTTACACTGAGTCCATAGCAAGGAAAAAGAACGTTGAATGCTGGTGCTCAGCTCACTCTCACCATTTTATTCAGTCTGGGACTGCAACTCATGGACTGGTACTGTCCACAGTTAAGATGGATCTTCCTACTTCAATTAACCTAATCTAGATAGTGTCTCCGGGGCTTGTCAGAACTTTACCTAATCTATTAATCCCTTACAAGCCTGCTCAGAGGTGTGTCTCCCAGGTGATTCTAAATGCTGTCAAGTTGACAGTCACAGCCACCATGCCATGGGTCCATCTCCCCAGCCCCAGTTTTCTCTTATTTACAAATATTTTTCAGCTTTCATTTATAATTAATGCCAATTTGTAAAAATTGCATGCCTACTCTACGTTAGCCAAGACAAGACAGGACAGCCCCACCCCCTCAAAGTTTAAAGGACGAGAAAGAAAAGATGGCAAGACAAGTTCCTCTTAAGTTTTAACCTTATCACATATTTTCAGTAGAAAAATAAGGACACAGTACAGAGTGCTCCCACTTGGCTCTCGTAAAGTACTGTTTTGGTGTCCATTAGGCATCCTTCAGCTCATGAAAGCGTCATTTCTGAGCAGAGAGCAAAGGGAATCCAATTCTGCAGAGCAAATGGAAGACTGGGATCCAGTCAAGAGGCTGGGCAGAAAAATTTTTAGATTAGATTTTCCTATCAATAATTATCTGGGAAGAATTTTGGTTCCAGGGCTTATTTTTTTAAAATATGTTTGTCTATTTCTGTTCCTTAGTGGCATAAAACTGTAAGGCAGATTTTTTATAATACATAAAGGCATAAAAATAGAAAATATAGGTGTCTGTATTTATTCTTTGTAGGTCCCCAAAGCCCTCAAACTGTCTACCAAATGCTTGTTAAGTTCTTAATCTCTCATTTAAAACAGCCCCAGGATTGGATAGAGGAGATAAAAATGAGGTTATTCAATTACAATATATTACCAACAGGACTATTGACATTCTTATGTGTGTGGATAAGGTAGTTTTTTTTTCTAGTTAACCAATTAGTAAATGTATAAATATTGTATTGCAAAGTAATTTTAGTAAATAATTGTATTTTCTTTTTGTAAGAAAAAAATGAAGAAAGAGAGGAGGAGGAAATTCTTTGGAGAATTAAGAACATGCAAACATCAAGAGAAACACCAAAGCTTTCATTGGAATGTCATTTGTTTCTATAAAACATGTATTTCTATTGACATTTCACTTTCTGGGAGGGATAATAATTGTTTGTAAACAGAATTGTTTCTCCCTATGGCGAATGAACATGAAATTCTGATTGTCACTACCAGTCTATATTTATTTAGGTAATTATTCAGTTCAATAAAAAGCATGTCCTTTCCCTTTTAAAAACCATTGTTCTTGGAAGCTCTTGGATAAACAGGACACTGAAAATAAACCTAGATAGTAAAACAACTGTGGTCCTGAAAAACTGCACACTGCTTTATTTGGAAGCAGTAGAATTTGCAGAATGTTGCTGTAAAGGGCATGCTACTCAAGTGACTTGGCTCTGAAGACTTTTATTATGAAAGCAAAGTATTTTCTGAAGGAGTAGAGCACAATTAGCTAAATGTTTGGGACAAAAATAGAGTTATTATTTTATCGTTTTGGAAAAACTTTGCCTATTTCTCTGTATTGTAGATTTTTTTTTTGAGACAGGGTCCCTCTATGTAGCTCTGGATGTCCTGGAACTCACTAGGTAGACCAGGCTGGCCTCAAACTCACCGAGATCTGCTTGCCTCTTCTTCCTGGGTGTGGGGATTAGAGGTGCAGACCACCTTTCTCCACTCCTATTTATTTTCTTGTTCTTTTATTACCAGTCAAGTATTTCACATGATGAAAATGTCTGTTTGTTCTTCTTCCTTCCTTTGTCCTCCTCCAGAGTTCTTGTTTCTTCCTAAGATGTTGCTTTTCCCGTCATAATCTGGCCCATTCTCAGCATCTCAGAGTTGGGAAGAACTTAACAGCCTTAGACCAATGTCCTTCCTACCATGTACCTTTATAGGATCTCCTGGAATATCACAATGAGAAGCTAGTTTATAAAGCAAGCCAAAGATAAGGTTTTATAAAGCTCTTTGTTATTTTTTGCCAGCATCTATCTATCTATCTATCTATCTATCTATCTATCTATCTATCTATCTATCTATCTATCTATCTTTCTATCTCTATCTATCATCTATCTATCTATCTATCTATCTATCTATCTATCTATCTATCTACCTACCTACCTACCTACCTACCTACCTACCTACCTACCTATCATCTATTTTAATTCTGCCTTTGCTTTTCAAAGAAAATAAGTATTGAAGCTCACTTTCCATTGAGTGGAGATTAGTTTTTAAACACCAGGTTCTTTCCTTACTGAGCATTTTTCTAGCTAAGCTACCCCATTCATTTCAGTTGTTCTTCATGTGTGATGATTTTCAATCTTATGGTCTCCTTGATTTTTGGAGCCTATTCCAACGAGTGAAAAATCAACTCAAAGTGAAAACACTTGATCTGGGGTCTGAGCAGCTGGGGGTAACATCGTAATATTGTATCACTTTCTTTTTATTTCTCTACACACTGATTTTTGGTTGCTCTATTATAGTTCTGATTTAAATCAACTTCAATGGAAACTGCAGTCTCTGTTTTCTGTTGCTTTGGTTAGGTCACTATGCAAAGGTGATAATAGTAGTTGACATTTGGATCTTAAGAAGTCAATTAAGGCATTTCTATTAAATTTCATCTCTTTCTGAGTTATTGTCTTGCTTGTGATGCTGTTTCATATGCATTTCTTTCCTGTCAGTCTGTTTTCACATTTACCCATAGTCACGGATGGAAGATTGAGTACATAGAGTTGACAAGAGTTATGCAGCATTCCAATTTGATTGTTAAATACATCATCTATATGCTGATGGCTTCTAAATGTATAGTTTTATGTGTGCTTCCAAACTTCAAAGATACACCCTGCTGATAACCTTGCTATTTCAAATTGCATGTGACCAAAAATCTAGCTTTTAGTTTCTATTCCAAATCAGCTCTGATTCTGATTGCACAGTTGGTTAAAATCCAAACTCAGGAATCAGTTTTAATGTCTACGAGCTGCTCATTGCTCCCTACCCACGTGTCTATCTCCCAAATCAATGCTTCCACCTTCTTCCATTTTGCTTCCTCTCCCTGGTCTCAGTTCAGATCACTGAAAAAGCCCCCACAGATCACAAGTTTCATCTCACAAATTGCTTCCTCCATCCACTATCCAGTGGTCCTTGTAGCAACACACAATTGAAAACTTATTCTTACTATACACATTATATATGCATATAAAAGTGACCAGATCGTAAATATACAGCTGAATGAGTTATCACAGGGAAAATTTATTCTATATCCTCTATTTAAATGAAGACAGAATGTCACCAATCCCGGAAGCCTATTGCATGCTCATCTTTGTCCCTCCACCCTCCTCTCCTTATATTTTTCTATTTAAAATTTTATATACACAAATAGTTTTGCTCACTGTACTTTTCTACTTTGTTTAGTTCATTTCAGAAACTGATTGTGAAATTCACCTACATTGTATATCAGAGTGGTTCTTTCATTTTCATTTTATCTCATTTCATTGTTACGTAGTATATCATTGTATGAACAAACAGCAATTTATGTTACCATTTTAAAGCTGATAAAATAATGGTTGTTTCCTGTTTGGGGATGACAAGACATATCACTTCATGGACATTTCTGAATATTTTTTTTTGCTGAAGATCTATACATATTTATTTGAGGTATAAAGTTAAGAGAAGATTTGTATTAAGGGACAAATATGTGTTCAGTTGTAGTGATACTTGTAACTTACACCTTCACTGACAGTAAAGTCACTGGGAACGACTAACTGCATACAAAATTCTGATTTTTATTGTTCTATGATTTTTGAAAAGTTTATAATATTAGATACTTCAACAAGCACAAAAGATATTAAGGTTGACTATGTCTAGAGTAAAAAGTGAGATGTTCCTGTTATTCTATTGAACTCATGGGGTAGATGAAAAGCAGGATCCAGTACTGGCTTGAGACAGATATTCGTGCCCAGGGATGGACTGCTCACTGGCAAACACTCCTAGCAAAACACAGGAGCCAAAATAATCAACCTTACTTAAATATCCTTTTGGGGAATGGAAAATGCATCCTCATTTGACTTCCTTCCTGGGAAGAGACAATATGAATGTCAGAAGAGCCATGTTGCTTTACAGCATAGTTTTGTGATCTTGCTTAGGAGCCAGGAGATTTGGTTTTTGAGTTAAGACATTCTCTCTCATAATTCTTCCCTTGTGACTCTATTTCTCTTGCCTTTTCAGTCTCTTCATTCTAATTGTTCACCTGTTGGCTGCCACCTGGAGGCATGGGTTTTCCTTTTAGCTTAACCACACAAAACTTGAAAATAAAAATCCACAGCACATTT